AAATATGAAAAATAAATATATATATATATATAAAACTCTCTTCTCAGGAAAACCCAGCACTACTGCAATGCCCCTTTGCTTAATCTGAGTTCCCTGGCTCTGCAGTAACTCCCACCATCCCAATTCCCACTGCATTCCTGGAACAACTGGCCATGCATAATGCTTTCCCCCTCCTCCTAAATATCAAAAACCAGATTTCTCACCTCTTTGTCAGAGCAGTTCCCATGACACATATTTTATATGACACCACCTGGCATTGATAATTTGAAAATCTAAATTTGCCTGGGAGTTTCAAGGAGGAGGATGACTGTATCACTGATCAGGCTGTATACTTTGTAGGCACCAAGATTTCCATACTGGTATTTATTTTTCAGTCCTATGATCCTAAAACACTCTGTAATTCAGACAGTGTTTGTATCAATTCTCCCATACCAAGTTCAGAAACTCCCGTTTCACAAGTCCCATATTTAAAACTACATTTAGGCAGCCAAAATAAATAGTCTTAAGAAATAGCAAGGATGCAAAATTCCATTAAATTTAAAGGCAGGAGCTGTCTAGTGAAGCAGAGAGTGCTTAAAGCAAGTACCTGGAACACGAGTTCAGATGCTTATGTTTGAAAGACTTGATTTTCATTTTAATGCTGCCAACTTTGCAGCATGTGAATTCCCTTAAATCTTCTCAATGTTTGGGGTTTGTTTGGTTTTTGTTGGTTTTTTTTTTCCTCCAAACTCACTGAACTGTTTTTCTGGATGAGATCACTCAACGTACTCCCAATAAATCTCCTCTAGGGAAAAGCATTTAAAAATTTAAACACACAACATCCTTTATCTGCCTTTCTGGCAATCCAGACAGCATAACGAGAACTGCACTCATTTATGTTCCCTATCAATCATTTTCCAGCTAAGATGTAATTTTCTTGAGAAATTTCAAGCGAAAATAGAAGCATCTAAACCAAATTAATAACAAAATATCTTTCCAGCTGCCACTCAGAATCCATGTACAGCTTTATACTAATTAGCAGAGGAAAAAAAGTTCTTTAGCATACAATGAAATCAAGTCTCCCAGACACCAACAATACAGAAAAACCTCTGATTTAAATAAGATGCTTAAACCTTTGATTTAAATAAGATGCTTAGGAAAAAAAGCAATCATGTTTATTACTTCCACAGCTTTAATTTTGTTAGAACACGTTATTTATTGCTGAAGATAACCAAGAGAATTGCAAATGCCACAGAGATTTTCCTGTTTGTTTGGCACACGCCTGGATTTAACATCCACAGTTACCACAGAGGTAGGATTGGTTTCCTCTGAACACAGATGGATGAGTGAAAATGAGAAGCCTACCAAGACCAAAAGGCAAAATGGTTCTAGGAAGAGGACCAGACATCAGGTTTTTTTTGTGTTAGGAGATGCCCTGTAGATGATCTTCTTGCTCCCTGTCAAGATACATGGTCATTAATCAAGTCAGCTCCCGTTGTTCTTTGGTAGGACTAGAGAGGTCAAACTAAGTCTCTTGCTGAAGGGCATTTGCTCTGATGTTTCTGGAGTTCTCCTGCTCTCCTGCACCCACTCCAGGTTTTTAATCATGTGGGCACAAAAAGAGACACTCCTGTGCAGGGCTGCAGATGGAGAGAAATGGTCATCAGTTGTCCTCCTTCCAACAAACCACCAGCATCAGATCTTGTTCTCTCCATTTTCCATGATGGCTACTGAATTCTTCCTGACTTCTCGCCTTGCTGGAGGAGTGTGACCACAACTAAGCAGTCAATACACCTGACAACATTTGGAACATCCCACTTTCTGAGCAGCATCCTTTTAGCACCATGCCTAATTTCCACCTCTACCTGAAAGCTTCCGACCCTCCTTCCCTCGGACCAGACCAGCGCTGGGTTTACACCTCGATTACGTAGCTCTGTGTTCTCTGTTCCCACAGCAATGACCCTGCAGTTGGCTTTATGGTAATTATCTAAATGGATCCAGCTTATCATTTTATAGAAGATAACACCACACTGCTGCAGGATATTGGACAGGTATACCATAATATTTAGATCCAAGAGAAGCATGACATGAATGTTGCTGCCTTTGAGTGAGCTCCTTTGATGACAAACATCTGACTTCAGACTATTTCCACACATGTTTTAAAGCACTAGTGTTCAGCTGCCCTGTTCCCCTCCTCCCCTTGCACGTTTCCTTCGAGGCAGAGCTGATTATGGGATATGAAAGGTCTGACTAAAGGTGGTAATTTCTTTGAGATGCCTTTGCCATTGAAGGAAAGAAGAATCTGAAAGAAAACTTGGGGATCAGTAACAGATGACACTAAAGACTTAATTAAATAAAAGAAGCTGTGGCTGCTCCTCTCTGGAAATGTTCAAGGCCAGGTTGGATGAGGCTTTGAGCAACCTGGTCTAGTGGAAGGTGTCCCTGCTGATGGTTTGGAACTGGATGAGCTTTAAGGTCCTTTCCAACCCAAGCTATTCAATGATTCTATGATAAATGACAGTCCTACTGGAGACTTACTGCTAATTTGAATACCACCACCTCTGGCTCCTCAGTAAAGGAGAACATGGAGAGCATGACAACTGCACAGACATTTGGCCAGAGTCCCCAACCACCAACACTGCTCCTAAGGAGGTGATGGCTCCACTCACAGCCATTCCCTCCCTACTCATCAAGAACCATCCAGAAAAGCTGTTAAGTCTCTCTAACAGCCATTCCAGCACAGCACAACCTTGAGCCACAGAGGTTCTGCACATTATCACCCAGAGCAAACACCAACAAAGCCCTTCAGGAAAGCACTGGGTCAGTGCTATTTGCCTTTATTATTAGCCTTTCTCAATCTATACACTGGTGATTAAGACCAAGGTGCCCTGGCAGAGAGGAGACAAAACCATGACACTGTAACTTAGGCTTGATCACACAGTACTGAGCTCTCCCAGCAGCAGTGATCTGCTCCTCTGTTAGCAGAAATGGCCAAGAAATGGCAAATACCAGTGTAGTATGAGACAAAAAAAAAACCCAGACCCAGTAATTAGAGCAAAGAAGAACACCCCTCCTCAGGTCATGAGTTTCCAATTCATCCCCCAAGATGAAATACAGAAATATAGACTCACATCAATGTTGTCAATGTCAAGAATCCGGGAGTGGAACTGGAGACCCATGGCTTTGGCTTGCTGGATTGGATGAGCCAGTTGACTGTAAGTCTAAATGAAGCAACAAACTTGTGTTACACGTTTGAATTTGTGCTGTCACACAAAGGAAAAAGGATCTTCTACTTAGAGAGAACCACCAAAAAATATAAGAATAGAAGTCAGGTTTCTGTAAATATGCTGAACACACATGTCTTGCCAGGTATCAAACAGCTGCATCAAATGTTCTGGGCTTCACATAACCAAATCCTCACTAAAAATCCCATCGCCCCTGGACAGAACAGGAGATCCTACAAGAAAGCTGGGGAAGGACTTTTCATAAGGGCAATTAATGACAAAACAAGGGGAAATGGGTTTAAGCTGAAAGAGGGGAGGTTTAGATGAGATATTAGGAAGAAGTTCTTCACTGTGAGGGTGGTGAGACACTGGAACAGGTTGGCCAGAGAAGTTGTGGATGCCCCCTCCCTGGAAGTGTTCTCGGCCAGGTTGGATGAGGCTTTGAGCAACCTGGTCTAGTGGAAGGTGTCCCTGCTGATGGCAGGGGGGTTGGGACTGGATGAGCTTTAAGGTCCCTTCCAACCCAAACCATTCTATGATTCTATGATCCATCATTCACAACAGAGTACGTACACCGAGGGCACCTGACAGCCAAGGCATCTGCAATTCTGATTTAACAGCAGACAAGGAGAAACAGTCTGGGAACCCAACTCTTCTCCTAACACCCAGCCAGACCCTGGAGGCAGACCAGCATTTCCTGGCTCCTTTCAGGCACCAGCACATATGCTTCATTATTTATGCCTCGAGAACTGTTGTTGGGGGATAGTGAATTTCTATTTGCTTCCAACATTATCATCATATTCTTGGCAGGTATCAAACAAACAGGAGGCAGTTCCCTACTGACCTCCCTACCACGGATCTTCTAACCTTCAGCACAAGCATTTAAATGCAAATATGCTACAGGAGTATACTGGTAAAGTCAGTATCAGATTGGGATTCTGAGGACAGCAGGTAGAGATAGCTCTGGGAACCACAAACCAGACTGAAGCCAGTGGGCTGACAGCAACCTGTGGCACAGATGGTAGAGCTGCCACTTAAATAAGTTCTTCCTTTACTGGTTACACCTTAGTGATCAATATCATACACTTAACACTTGTGGTATGATTCTGTTCAAGAGCCTTTATCTCTTGGATTCACATTAATAGGATCCTCATTTCCTTTCTTGGCTTATTTTATGGATGATTCTTGACTTAGGAGCTTAATTTATAATTACAACTAGCTTAGAAGTGTTTGTCTCATAAACTGCAGTCAATCTGCTACTTCCCTCTAGAGATCTGAGAGCAATTGTGTGGCGTCATTTCAAAGGTTGCTGGAACCAATAAAAAAACCTTATTTATTTTCAGACTGCTTTGAATATCTTATTCTTACATATTGCTGTATAGTTACAAAGATGTTAATCACAAAAAATTAAATAAAATACAAAAATTGGCTCTTCCAGTGTGTGCATTTCCAGCCCTCTGGTGGTGGTGATCAGGAAAGAGAACATTCAATTTAAACAATTTAATTCTTTACAAAAAGAACAACTATGGCTCTGCGCTGCCTACAACACAATTATCTTGGAGCAGAGCAAAGACCAAGAACAAGTGTCCATCTATGCTGTCAGGAAACAATCTGCTTTCATGAAGTTAGGTGGATAAAAACACAACCACTGAATTGTAACCAATTCATAGTCACTGTTTCAAGAAGCAGATCTACTACTGAAAATTCATCCCAGTACAAAAACAAAACCAGCTTGTGTACAACAAAACACAATTCTGCAGGGAGATTATCCAGGCTGCAGATCATCTACACTGCAATTTCAGAGAAAAAATAACAAACTTCAGCCTGCCAGGATCATTTGCTGGGATGCTGGAGTGGGGTTGTGTTTGTATAGTAGCTCCAGGGACAATGGAACTCTGTAAGCAGAAAAGCATCACCTTTTTGGGTCAGCTCAAACATCAGCTCAAACATAGGGTGTTGCATCTGGGCAGGAACAACCCCAGGTTCCAGTATAGGTTGGGGGCAGACCTGTTGGAGAGCAGTGAAGGGGAAAGGGATCTGGGAGTCCTGGTGGGCAGCAGGATGACCATGAGCCAGCACTGTGCCCTCGTGGCCAGGAAGGCCAGTGGCATCCTGGGGTGCATTAGAAGGGCTGTGGTTAGTAGGTCAAGAGAGGTTCTCCTCCCACTCTACTCTGCCCTGGTGAGGCCACATCTGGAATATTGTGTCCAGTTCTGGGCCCCACAGTTCAAGAAGGACAGGGAACTGCTTACGGTGATGGTAACAGAGCCCCGGGACAGGCTGCCCCGGGAGGGTGTGGAGTCTCCTTCTCTGGAGACATTCAAGACCCGCCTGGACGCCTTCCTGTGTGATCTCATTGAGGTTCCTGCTCTGGCAGGGGGGTTGGACTGGATGATCTTTTGAGGTCCCTTCCAATCCCTAATATTCTGTGATTCTGTGATCTCTGCACCTTCTCACCCCATACCTGGGATGCAGGCTCTACTAAAGCCCATCCAACTCAAGAAGGGCAGCGCAGAACTGGAGCTAGTTAGACTAGTTTGAGTTTAGCTCTCAATTCACTACCTGCCTCTAAAAAAAGTCTCTTCTTATATCCAGACTATTCCAGAAGTCCATACACTTGACTGTATTAGTGATTTATAGGATGAATATGTTGGATGGGAAGCAGCTGGGCACATAGATCAGCTGGACAGCGTGCAAGCAAAATAAAAAAACCACAATAAACCGATTTACAAGGGAGAATCATAACCTTTACAGACATTTTTAGTAGCTCTACTTACTGCTTCATAGCACCAATCTTTGAGGATATCAAGCTCTCCAGACATCATAGCCTAAGAGAGGAAAAATAAAAAAAATCAAACAAAATACAAACATTTTTAAAACACCTCCTCTATCAGAGAGTTGAAGTTACCAGCTCTTTCAGCAGCCAACTACTTTAAATCCTACATCTTGTGAAACCCTGAAGAAGGATAGGAGCTTCAAAGAGGAACAGCAAGAAGAACTTCTACATACACACACGCTGAGACAGATGTACATAAACCTTTTGATAATTAAGATAAAAGCTAACTTAAAACCTTCCTGTCCAAAAAAAGTCAGCAGAACACATACTATCCAGAAATCCTGAGAGGTTGAGATCTAACAGAAGTGTGGGACCTAACAAAAGTAGAAGTACAAACAAAGATGATCTATAGTTTTCAAGAGTGCAAAAAATTCAGGGTACAGAATGAACAGAAGAATCACACTGCAACTCCTGAAAAAGGTTCAGCTTTAAAACACTGAGTAAGAAACACCTGGAATTCACAACAAGACCAATGCTGGGAATTTAGTAGCTTTCAAAATAAAGTTATATGTGGCAGGGTAGTTGCGTTTTTTTTTTCAATATAATGCCCATAAATCTTCATACTTGATGGCATCTGTAAACTGGCTGCCTACAGTCTGGAAAAACCTCTCCTCACAGATTTACTGATAGAAAAGACACTAGAAAAATTCATTCTCTGAGAGACAAGAGCCCATTTTTTGCAGCTGCTTTAGTGACACGGCACCATCAGGAAAAGCAGCTTCACCACGACAGCTCTGTCTTTATTTCACTGTTGACATTACAGTCCCAGTCACACACCTGATATACAACTCAGTCACTACAAAGACAGCAGTGACAAAACCTCACTACCCAGCAGCACGGGTGTTTGCAGCTCTAAGCATCACATTATTGTTGATTCATCCTAGAATGCCACCTCATGACTAGGAGTGTCATAAATGTTTCCACATTAACATGTATTGATTTGAGATACGATCCCTCACTGCACTGTTTTGGAGGATGAGAAAAATAACACTTTGCTCTCTCTTTGCATCTGTTTATCTCTTCAGGCCTCTGTTTTTTCCCAGACTCACACAAATCTCTCAATTTCTGCTGTACTTCTTCACATCCCCTACTCTCACTCTGTCTTTTCTGACACACTATTACAGTGAGAGGAACTATATCCACTTATACTTGACGTCACATCCTTCATCAGTCCCACCCTCCAAGTGCTTTTTACACTTTAGTCTTTAAAAACATTAAGTTCCACATATTTCCTTTGACTAGTGCCAGAACTATTTCCACTGAACCATTTGTCACGACCTGGTCTTCTTCTCAAGCAGTTGCAGATCACTTAGAGTTCAGTACTACACAGAACATTCTTTCCTTTATCAATATTTGATATCATCATTTGCCCAGTACAGTTCATCACCTACTTCAGTTTGATCTCTCTGATGTCTGTATCATCTCTCATGGGAGAAAATGGTTTGTTGTTTTCCAGGCCAGAAAAAAAAATAAAATTGCTAGTCTACTGAATTATAAAATATTATTTTAAACTAAATTGTTATATGGGATCCAACTTCCTTTTCCCAAGGTTATATCATATTCTGTGCAAAGCTGGGTGCTTGAGAAGCAAATACTGTGGGAGCTTTTAATTTTAGCATTGGAAAACTAAAAGAAAAAATCTTCTATGTTATAATAAAATGAAAAAAAAATAAAAGAAATGCATCATACTCTACCCCCACCTTACCTCCAAGACATTGGGGATTATATCACGTTCGCATTGCTTTAAAAACCGATCTTTGTCGAACGATGGATCCACTTTGAGTATCTCTGTCAAAACTTCAGACATTTCTGTCTTCGAGAACAATCCACCTAATAAAACAATTCAGTGAGACTGGTGGCACAACAACTGCAGCCAGAAAACAAGAGAAAGACCTTTGGTGATATCCCAGAGGGAAGGAAGAGTCAGCTGGGAACCAGTGCAAACTATCCGTTATGCTTGAGATTTACCTCATAAAGCACTTGTCATCGCACTGCACTTTTGATCCAGTAGCAGGTTGTTACACTGCATGAGACTGGATAATGATCCATGGAAAAATATTATAAAGCTGCAGAATCTGTCCCCAGAGGTTAGTAACACACAGAGGACGCCAGCACTACCAGTCACTAGGAACACAGCTAAAAGGCTAGAGAGGCGCTTTTACAGCGGTGATGAAACATTACCTATTAAGTCAGTGACTTTGTCTGTAACAGCTCTGGAAGCTCGAATGAATGCATTATCACTTTCATCATACTTCATTTTCATTTCAAAGAACCCTGAAAGGAGAGGAGACATGAGCAGCAGTGTCCTTCCACTACATTCCCCAACGAGGAAACAACGTGCAATGGGTTGCAGATGAAACGTGCTAGTTCTCTTCTAAATCTCTTTGTTAATTAACACATTTCAATTTCAACAGTTACTTTTCTCCCCATCTTCCTGCAATATTCTGATCAATAACTGTCACGAGGAGAATGAGGGGTCCTCTGACTTCAGCTGTCAGAAACTCTGGGCCTTCTACACCAATTTACACATAGAAAAGACACTAGACTTGCTTATACCAGTAACAGTCTGCTTACACCCCTCAATTCAGTCTGCTACAGGGGGCAGAAGGATGTGAAACCAACACCAGAAAGTTGAACTCTGAGGGAGAAAACAAGAACAGACCTTAAACCTTGCCAATTCTTAATAAAACAGAAAGACCTGAGTAAGGATGCAGTTTTTAAGTAGCTCTGTGTACTTCTCAACCTTGGTAAGAAAGCAAGTGAAGCGTGTCACAGGAGTACAGAAGTCATTGATGGGGGAGGAGAACTCCTGCAAAGCAGAATCTCCAAGGCAGAAAAAAGGGCAGGGGGTGAAATTAAACAACCAAAAAAAAAAAAAAACCCAACAAAAAAAAAAAAAAAAAGCCATTTAAGCAAGCAGGCAGTGTTGTAACAAACTACGGGCTCAACCAACCCATTATCCATCTCTGGACATCATCAGATGGACCAGAACTGCAGAAGGTATTTGCAGGATAATGGGCCCTGCAGGGAAGCTTCTTCCCACCATGTCAATTAACAATTGGAATCCTGCCCTGAAGCTTATGTTCCTTCCCAAAAAAATAAACCACAGAGTGTTGTGGGTACAGGTGGTACATCAAGAGAGAGCACCCGTCATTAGGGACTGGGGCAGCCACATCTGCAATGGCACCTGAACTGCAAAACCAGAGGTTTGGAAATATGTATAAAATGTGGAGGATGCAGAGAGCTCATGGAGATGGCCCAGGAGTGGAGGGGGCAACACATGGGGAGTTATAGGAGCAAGGAGCATCTCCTTGGAAAGGTGAACACATGGGATGTAAAAGCCATTCTTGGATATCTCCCGGGTCACTCTGCTTTAAAAGAAGTTGGGAAGAAACACAATCCAAAGTTAATTATATGTTGCACTTTTCCAGAATCTTTTATTTTTTTCCCTTCACAAGTCATCTACCCTGCAGCAGACTGGCAGCCATTACTTTGATTTGTTGAAGGATTCTGGTCTCAAGCTTCTTTATGCCTTTCAGAAACATCAAGTGGCTAGATAACTATCAAAAGTTATTGCCCACTGCAATATAGATATACAGTACTTTTAGGTTTTGCAATAAAAACAGAAAGGAGATAAAAGTCCCACACATGCCAGAGTTCTAAGCAGATGACAACAGAAAGCAGCTCACTGAAGACAAGATTCTTCCCGGTTACAAGCTCGAGGTCAGGAAGAAAAAGAAAGAAGGGGAAAAAAAGAAAGAAGGGGAAAAAAAGAAAGAAGGGGAAAAAAAGAAAGAAGGGGAAAAAAGAAAGAAGGGGAAAAAAGAAAGAAGGGGAAAAAAAGAAAGAAGGGGAAAAAAAGAAAGAAGGGGAAAAAAAGAAAGAAGGGGAAAAAAAGAAAGAAGGGGAAAAAAAGAAAGAAGGGGAAAAAAAGAAAGAAGGGGAAAAAAAGAAAGAAGGGGAAAAAAAGAAAGAAGGGGAAAAAAAGAAAGAAGGGGAAAAAAAGAAAGAAGGGGAAAAAAAGAAAGAAGGGGAAAAAAAGAAAGAAGGGGAAAAAAAGAAAGAAGGGGAAAAAAAGAAAGAAGGGGAAAAAAAGAAAGAAGGGGAAAAAAAGAAAGAAGGGGAAAAAAAGAAAGAAGGGAAAAAAAGAAAGAAGGGGAAAAAAGAAAGAGGGGGAAAAAAAAAAAGAAGGGGAAAAAAAGAAAGAAGGGGAAAAAAAGAAAGAAGGGGGAAAAAAGAAAGAAGGGAAAAAAGAAAGAAGGGAAAAAAGAAAGAAGGAAAAAAAAGAAAGAAGGGAAAAAAAAGAAAGAAGGGGAAAAAAGAAAGAAGGGAAAAAAGAAAGAAGGGAAAAAAGAAAGAAGGGAAAAAAGAAGGAAAAAAAGAAAAAAAAGAAAGAAGAAAAAAGAAAAGAAAAAAGAAAGAAGGAAAAAAAGAAAGAAGAAAAAGAACAGAGTTCAGTTTCTTTAAACAATGGTGAAAGCAGGTTTTGGTACCTACAGGACTGATCAAAAACAATCCCTGACTGGGGGAAGGTTCCAAACACAGATGGAGTAGCTTGGAAAAGCTGCAGTGTCGTCAGCTACACCTACCTCCCATTCACACCACCACACAGCCACAGCTACCACAACCACCACCACAACAAAAAAAAGGGGCTGTGATTTGCATTATGCTGAGACTAGTTGCACAGATGGCACGAGATCCAACACAGCAAGAACCAGCAGAGGGAAAATAACGTGCTGCTCCTTTGTCTTTGGAACACTTACTATTGAAGACCACATTGTTGTCCTTGAAATCTTTCCACTGCTGATACCATTTTGAGTCTTTATGTAGCACCACACCCATGGCCTCCCTAGAAGGTGTAGAGGACAGGGGTACTTGTCAACAAGTAACTTAAAATCAAGTGAGAAGAAAAAGGAGGACATGATGAATATCACTGCAGCACGTGGTGGCACTGAGGCTGATACACCACAACTTAGTGGAGCAAAGCAGCAGAGAAAGCAAAGGAGCTCAGGCTTAGCCCTGCCAAATGTCACTCCATAGCAAGATGTCAGAACTGAGAAAACATGTGCAAGTCAAAACTTCATCTCAGAACATCGTGTACTCACTTTTTTTTTCTGAAAACCTAGTTCAAAAATCAGATGTTTGAGATATTTCAGATCTCTCCAAGTTCCACACACAGAAATCAACATAAAACTAAAAACAATTTTAAACAAAGCATTTTAAAACAAACTGTGGCAAGGTTGGGAGCTGATGCTCACACAGGATAATTCTATAATTTTAAGTGCCCAGTTTCACTACCAGAAGATTCAGTATCATCAACTTATGCTGGAAATTTCCTCCCACACCTACCTGCTCTGCTAAGTCACACCTCACCCCACAGCTGCACTTCAGCACTTGGGATTTTAACCATCCCTGACCTGTAGTTAAGTTTTCAAGTTTTTAATCAAATTATACACAGGAATATTCACCCTGAATTACACCCAATACGTACTCATTAGCTTCAAATATTCTCTCCTCTTTAATCTTCTCGCCTGAGAATTCTGTTCTTTTCCGTAGTCGCTCTGGACGTTTGTAAGGACCAGTCTGTCCTAAAACACTTTCATCTATTTCTTTCTTAACAGTTTCTACTCCCTGAAAGAAAATATTTATATTAGGTTGATTTACCATTCCCTCCACTTCCCCAGAAACTGAAAATCACTTCTGTTAAAGGAAAAAAATAAATTAAAATTTAAAAAGATACGAAACCATCGTTATTCTCCTCTCCCTTACTCAGCAAATGCTTCTTTGCTGATGTCTATTGACAAACACACCAGTCCCAAGGTCTTCTCCTTCAGAAATTAACAGTCTAAGACAGTAAATGGATAGTTGTATTGAATCAGCCTGAAGAAAGAAAATAATATAGAAGCTATGGACAGAGTCAAACCTTCCATTTGTTAAGGGGTAACATCTACAGAGTTTAAATTGGAATAAATCAAGTCAGAGGAAGGCAGGTATATCAGCCCCCAACAGCAGCCAGCAGCTGCATCATGTGGCTTTATGGGGGCTGTTATTTTTCAATTTTATTTAAAGTTAGTGTGACTCCTTCCTGAAGAAAGTTATGGCATAGATGTCAGAGATCTTCAGCCTGGAGAAGAGAAGGCTCCAGGGAGATCTTATAGCAGCTTTCCAACACCTCAAGGGGGCCTACAAGAAAGCTGGGGAGGGACTTTTCCTAAGGGCAGTTAATGACAAAACAAGGGGAAATGGGTTTAAGCTGAAAGAGGGGAGGTTTAGATGAGATATTAGGAAGAAGTTCTTCACTGTGAGGGTGGTGAGACAGTGTCCCAGGTTGGCCAGAGAAGCTGTGGCTGCTCCTCCCTGGAAGTGTTCTCGGCCAGGTTGGATGAGGCTTTGAGCAACCTGGTCTAGTGGAAGGTGACCCTGCTGCTGGCAGGGGGGTTGGGACTGGATGAGCTTTAAGGTCCCTTCCAACCCAAACCAGTCTGGGATTCTATGATCTGGTATGAAACAGGAATTGGAGTTTAAGGCAAACCCCAGGTAAAAGGAAGAATCATTCCTAACATCCAAAGGCAGGGGAAAAGAAAGACTCCAGGACACCAACAACTAATTGCAAAGTCACCTGAACAGTCAATAAAATGCAGGTTCTAGGTCCAAGCTTAAACAAACACAAGTACTGCTTTCCCCAAAAAGAAAAGGAGCCTCACTTCTCAGAGAATTCTACACACCCTCTCGCTGAGAAAACAGCTTCGAAGCAAACTGGGTTTTGCCAGAGAAGAGATGTGGAAAGTATCACAGTCATAAAGATACTAAAGGAGAGAGAGGAGATATTGTCCCTGGGTGAGGCTACATCAAGAAAAAGGACTGGATAAATCTGGACCAATGCACATCTCATCAGGGAAGAGCCACATCCTCAGTTCAGACTCTGCCAAGAGGAAGCTGCATCCTATTGCAACCACTGTTGGGAATTTGTGTCGTACATTTCAATAGGGATTGGGACTAAAAGGCATTTTCAGTGATTCTCCTTTATCTTGGCTGCTCTATTTTTATTACTGAACTTTTGAGCTGTCCTTTCTCTAATGACTAAGCCTACAAAAGGTCTGTTGCACAATAAGTACACCTTCCTCTTGCAACTAGACAGAAAGGGATTTTATATCTACTCTCTATGCAGCTTTTTCCCAATCTGTGTTTTTATTGAGGACACACAAGTTATGTAGCCCAAAGCATCATGTGGCTTTATGGGGGCTGTTATTTTTCAACTTTATTTAAAGTCAATGTGACTCCTTCCTGAAGAAAGTTAGGGAATAGATGTCAAGAGATCTGATATGAAACAGGAATTGGAGTTTAAGGGACTTTAAGCATCAAAGATAAACAAATAAAACAGCTCCAAAGCTCAGTCTGTTCCTACTGACTATAAAAGATGATCTGAGGGAGCTGGCAGAGAACAGAACAAAACACAAACCCCTGTGGATATCATCTAGCTCTAGATGATACAAATAAAATATCTCCTAAATACTGAAGCAACGGGGAGCTCAAAATGAGACCACTACTACAATTTCTAAGAGAATGCATTTGGTTTTTGGAAGCAGTAGACTGAATATTTTAAATTCGACATAGTACAAAGTCTAGCAAAGCTACAAGAACTGTTCACAGCCTAGAAAAGGTCTGTGAATCAGTTAAATCTGATGATGACTCAAAAGGTTTATCCATTATAGAAGGAAAATAAATCTTTAAGCCTCAAAAAAAATTTACTTGAAGGTCCTATAAAATCATTGTCTGCTTCTCAGGTCTGGCCTAGCAGGCTGCTCAACGAAGGAACAGAGAGTTCTTGGATTAGGAGATTGCTGGAGTAAGAAAACAGGTTTCATTACTGAAAAAGAAAAAAAGGGGTGTATGATGTGATCTGCAGAAGTGACCTTTAGCAGATGATGTCTTATTAGAAACACAGAAAGAGAGGAACTGAGATGATTGATGTGACTGATACTCCACCTGGCCTGGTAGCTCCTCATGCCAGGGCTAAAGCCAAGAGGAGGCATGAGAAACCGGTCAAAGGGAGCGTTTCTTTTTAGGCTAATTGCCAGCTGATTAGGTGACACTAAAACATATGAGCACTTACATATTTTCTAGAAAAGGAGAGTTTTAAGCAAGCCAGTTTGTTCCCAAGAACACCACCAGCACTTGCCTACAGAAGACATTTGTTACCCTACTCCACAAGCACAGCCACTCATTTTTCCAGTCACACATTTCAGCAGCAGCTCAGCTACTCGAGACTCACACTCGTCTAGAGTTGTTGAGTGAATGCTAGACGTGCAAAACACCCCTCCTGAATTTATGAGCTTATTCCAATGGCTCACAAGGTCTTGCTATAGGAGTTTGATGTTTAATTTTATCCTCAGCACAAACTGGCACGTAACTGCCATGTTAATGAGCTGTGTCCACAGCGCCGGGTCCTGCGGAGGCAGAGGACTCACATACCTGAGAAATAGCTTTGAAGGCTGCTGTCTTGCCTAATTTCTCTCCTCCTTTTGTCACTGACTCAGCAGACTGCTTTGCTGTTTTTGCTGCTTCTTCCACACCTTCCTTTATCTTTCGGCCAATATCACTCTTACTTACTTCATCCAAACTCTGCAACGAAACAAAACAGGAAGGAAAAGGGGAATTTTCAGGTGAAAATTTATTTTGAGTAACTCCTCTTTGTGAATGCTAAAGAATCCTAACACACACATGATGAATCTAACCAAAGTTAAGGTGAACACACAGTTACATGTCACAGGGGAGATGTACCAGGACACCATGGTTTGGCACTGCACTGTTAGCCAACACTTCTGTGTAAAACCATTTTGGCTACTCATGGGACCATACACATCTGTAAAGAACATTTTTAAATGTTTAAAAAAAACCCAAAACATATTTTGTTTAATAAAAAAAACCCAAAACATATTTTCTTGACATCAAAGAGAAGGATCAATGAAGCCAGAGTTAAAATATCCTAGCCCTTTCCTATGAAACAATCAGGTGGTTCTTGAATCTCAAGAGAAGGTGCAGAAGTGGTTGAGAAGGTCTCTGCTACGCAAATTTCTTCCTGCAAAATCAGGAAATGATTTTCTCAATCCAGCATCTTAAATAGAATCACAGAATCCCAGACTGGTTTGGGTTGGAAGGGACCTTAAAGCTCATCCAGTCCCAACCCCCCTGCCAGCAGCAGGGACACCTTCCACTAGACCAGGTTGCTCAAAGCCTCATCCAACCTGGCCGAGAACACTTCCAGGGAGGGGGCATCTACAACTTCCTTGGGCAACCTGTTCCAGTGTCTGACCACCCTCACAGCCAAGAATTTCTTCCTAATATCTCATCTAAACCTCCCCTCTTTCAGCTTAAACCCATTTCCCCTTGTTTTGTCATTAACTGCCCTTATGAAAAGTCCCTCCCCAGCTTTCTTGTAGCCCCTTCAGGTACTGGGAGGCCACTATAAGATCTCCCTGGAGCCTTCTCTTCTCCAGGCTGAACAGCCCCAACTCTCTCAGCCTGTCCTCACAGCAGAGCTGCTCCAGCCCTCGCATCATCCTGGTGGTCTCCTCTGGACTTGTTCTAGCTTCTCCATGTCTTTCTTGTGTTGGGGGCTCCAGAATTAGATGCAGTATTCCAGGTGGGGCCTTACGAGAGCAGAGTAGAGGCGGAGAATATACATCACTTTGGCTCCTTACAGAGCCAGGATCTCATATGCAAGAGGTTAAAAGGACTCTGCCAGTAGCTGGACACCCTTTCATTGCACACTGGCACACATCAGATCTTTGAGGATCTCAGAAATCTCATTGGCAACAGGTAACCAATCCTGGAAGCTACAAGCTACAACCTCAGAGGAACAGAATGACAGGATAACAGCACCAAATGGTTTTCCCTGTTTTTCAATGGGATTTGGATAATAATGATGCTTTACAGCACCCTCAACAGCACTGAAAAGAGAATGGTTATGTCCACATCATCAAAGAGCACGAGGTCCAGCTCCTAACTGTACACAGAGTGAAGCTACACCAAAGCACATGTAGACAGAATGAGAGGGAAGGAGCAGAGGGATCAGGTCCACACAAACTTCATACTGCACAGTTTACGTCCAGTGTTGAGCTGGTTGTTTCTCAGCTGGGATCCTGCACCTGATGGCAAGTGTTGGGAATATTCCACAGGCTTTGATCTTAAAGCACTGCTGAAATCAGCTAAGTTCATTCTGCTCAGAAGCAGCCTGGCTGTGAGCATCAAGTCCATGCACTTCAACTGACAGTTAAGGAACAGCCTCCCGAAGTACCTCTCAGCTGTGACTTACTGCAGAAAATCTTCTGCTCTCTTTAAGAGAAAGAGTAGGATGTTTTCAGTCACTGCTGATTTATTTCCTCTCATCAGTAGGAGAGAAAAATAAGACTGAGGTGCCTGGGAGTAACTGTCAGGGTGGCAGACTGCCACAACAGCCGTTCTCCAACTCCTCTAGCTCAGTGCCACCTCCTGGCTACCGACAGATCTACAGCAGCAGGAAGGCAAATGATAAACCCAGCAGCAGCCCAGCTGCCAATGTCTAGTGGCCTCCCAGTACCTGAAGGGGCTCCAGGAAGGCTGAGGAGGGACTTTGGCCAAGGGCAGGGAGTGACAGAACAAGGGGTGATGGCTTGAAACTGGAAGAGGGGAGATGGAGATGAGATGTGAGGAAGAAATTGTTGGCTGTGAGGGTGGTGAAACAGTGTCCCAGGTTGGCCAGAGAAGCTGTGGCTGCTCCTCCCTGGAAGTGTTGAAGGCCAGGTTGGATGAGGCTTTGAGCAACCTGGTCTAGTGGAAGGTGTCCCTGCTGCTGGCAGGGGGGTTGGACTGGATGAGCTTTAAGGTCCCTTCCAACCCAAACCAGTCTGGGATTCCATGATTCTATGACCAGCAAGCACCTTTGCCACAAAGGAATGAGCAGGACCAGCAGTGTCCCTCTCCCAGATCGACTCTCTCCTCCTTGTGACATCCCTGGACACTCAGAGCAGCTGGTGCAGTCTGAAGAGCACCACATCTCCTAAACAGCTTTCCAGGGTGATCTCCAGCATTGCTCTAACTGCCCTCCAGTGGAACAACCACCTTGAGGCTTTTTTTTTTACCACTAGACAACGCAGAACCGTAAGGACCATCTCCAGTCTCCAAATCAGAGAGGAATCAACAGTGCCATACACTAAGTGATTAAAAAACTATCATACACTTATCATACACCATTGCTGTAATTTTGTTAATGACTCTGGCCTTAAAGATTCAGAATAGTGATCACCTTTGCAACAGCAATCACTTTTCACCAAGAAAAAAATAGAAAGGGTGATAATTCAAATGCCCATAAAACACACGACCTGAGAGCAGAACCACCTCAGGGAAAGGTTCTTCCACAGCTGCCTTTTACCTCTTTAACTGTCCCAGTTATTTCTTCAAGTTTCTTTTTAATCACTTCAGAGGTCTTCACTGTTTCAGATTCAATGGTTTTCTGTGGAAAAAAAGAAAAACAAACAACATACTGTACATAAGTATGAGGAGAGAAAATCCTGAGAAACAGTTCAGCACAGAGCACACTCCATTAACTCTGTAATTGAGGGGGAAAAAAGAAGAGCTACGTCTTTGGGAGCTGCTACTTGAGTAACCAACGTCAGTATTTCATTTTGGCAAGTAATGCTGTTTAGAGTTCTTCAAAGAATGCAAAAAGAAGTGTTTAAATATTGCCAACACTCTGAAGGCATCCATTTACCAGCCCAGTATTTCCACAGCCAAGCAGAACTTCTCATAAAAACAGGTCTGTTTGAACTAAACAGTTTCATTTGTAGAAAGATTCAAATTTAATTCAGAACAGCAATAGCTCAGTAGCTGGGCAAGGAAAATATCCAAGGGGTTCCTAAGGAAGACTTACATATTTCCTCCTGGCTTCTCGAAGGGCATCAGATTCTTCCAGCTTTTTAGCTTCATCACGGAATTTTTTAATACTTTCTTTCATCTCCTTGTTTTTGGCTAATTCCTGTTTGATATTCTCCACAAAACCTGATATAAACCCCTTTCTTCTTCCAGAGGAGTAGCATCTAGACTAAAGAAAATCATGACATGTTGTAGAAACCCAAAAAAGACGGTCAATTAAACAAACAGCAAAGCCAGCAGGTGGATTGATTTGAGCCAAGCACTCAGTCACCTCTAACATATTAAATGTTGTGGAAAACATACAGCTACCTCAAAAAAAGAAGCAGTTTACCCTCAAAACAGTCAGATGTCCAACACATTTCTAATACCCTGTGAAGAACATCTATACAGCCAGCAAAAGAGATGCTTCTCCAGAAGAAATTAAACTCCAGAGGTTGGATCAGGCTTAAATAATTTGGTAGATGAAGTTACCAGAGCAGCACTCCTCAATTCTGTCACTTCGACTCAGCTAGGACAAAATTCCTTGAATTCATCAGATGGATCTTAAAAAGTGGAAATTTTCAACCTAGAACTGGTGCTTATAGAATCATAGAATGGTTTGGGTTGGGAGGGACCTTAAAGCTCATCCAGTCCCAACCCCCCTGCCAGCAGCAGGGACACCTTCCACTAGACCAGGTTGCTCAAAGCCTCATCCAGCCTGGCCACAAACACTTCCAGGGAGGAGCAGCCACAGCTTCTCTGGCCAACCTGGGACACTGGCTCACCACCCTCACAGTGAAGAACTTCTTCCTAATATCTCATCTAAACCTCCCCTCTTTCAGTTTAAACCCATTTCCCCTTGTTTTGTCATTAACTGCCCTTATGAAAAGTCCTTCCCCAGCTTTCTTGTAGGCCCTCTTCCGGTATTGGAAGGTGCTAGAAGATCTCCCCAGAAATCTATGTGCTTCTCAGAAGCATATCAACAGTTAGCAGATCAGTTCTCTAATGGGAAAGCATTTTTGGTCTGAAATTAAAGAAATTCAACCATTAACCAACCTGATGGATGTCTAAACCAGGCCTGCTCATGCTGTAGGCTGTTCCCCTGTGGACTGCAGGAATTGGGTATCTTCTGGAGAGAAGCCACATGCCACTGATGAGACATTTCTGCACAAAAAAAAAATATGATAAATTAAATTACATTTAATTTAAATATGATATGACTTAATAAATCCAAGATGACAACAGTCTTAAAGAGCCAAGGGAGAAAGGAAAGAATAACGCAAAGAGAATATTCACTGGTGTTCTGGGAACACATCCCAAGAGCTGCCAAGAAACACCAGTGGCTGGTTTGTTCAGAGTGATCCATAAAAACTCGGTGATGTGTTTGAGCAGCGCCACATCCGCTTCCAAATTCATTTGGATATAATTAAAGTTGTGATCCAAAACGGTGCAACACACTTTCCACAGTCACTTCAGAAAATGTACGTGCCTCACAGAGCTGTGAGCTTCTGGAAAAGGTGGTGAGTAAGTAAATTCATCCTTGAATTCAACCATCTATCACATCAAATTGAAAGATATTGTTATATATTAGAATAGAATAGAATAGAATATTTGGAACTTTTTTTTTTCTAGGAAAATAGACTTTAAATATAACTTCATCCAAGGGGTGGAGCAAACCCAGGACCCCTCTGTGTCTAAGCTTCATGCTGCCAGAAATCAGAGACAAACACCCTTTGCCTCAAGTCACAGAACAGAAAAGAGACCCAGGATCACAGAAAAAATCACAGAGAGGTTCTGCTGCACCTTGGCAAGATCACAAGCTGCAAATTCTTGCAGCACAGAGCCACCAAGATGATGAAGGGAGTGGAGCATCTCCCTTGTGAGGAAAGGCTGAGGGAGCTGGGGCTCTTCAGCTTGGAGAAGAGGAGACTGAGGGGTGACCTCATTAATGTTTATAAATATGTAAAGGGTGAATGTCAGGAGGATGGAGCCAGGCTCTTCTCAGTGATGCCCAATGGCAGGACAAGGGGCAATGGGTGTGAGCTGGAACACAGGAGGTTCTGCTTCAACTTGAGAAGAAACTTCTTTCCAGTGAGGGTGACAGAGCCCTGGGACAGGCTGCCCAGGGAGGGTGTGGAGTCTCCTTCTCTGGAGACATTCAAGACCCACCTGGACGCCTTCCTGTGTGATCTCATTGAGGTTCCTGCTCTGGCAGGGGGGTTGGACTGGATGATCTTTTGAGGTCCCTTCCAATCCCTGACACTCTGGGATTCAGCGACGGCACTGCCAAACACCACAACCTGAATCCAGATTTGACTTCTAGAAGAAGTAAGAGGGTCATTACCCCACAGATCCTGCTGGCCCAAAGACACACGTTACATGAACTCACTGGTTTCTACACTTAACTCACATACATCCAGCTCCTTCTTATTTATTGCCTCTGAAGCTTCAAGTGTCAAGTTTAAATCAGGGAAGGAAACACTCCCCATAGTCTACCTTCGAACCTTGCTGCCCAAGTCATCACTGAGGCCAGGCTTTGAAGCAAGAATAAGTTATATGCAAAACTTCAAACATCTCTCTTCACTGTAAGGATGGCATTAAGGAAGCTGGGGCAGAACCGCCCACAAGGGGATGGAGCAATAGGATGAGGGGTGATGGTTTTACACTAGAAAAGGGTCGATTTAGGTCGGATATCAGGAAGAAGTTCTTCAAGATGAGGGTGGTGGATCATTGGAAGAGGTTGTCCAGAGAGGTGGTGGAGGCCCCATCCCTGGAGATATTCAAGGCCAAGTTGGATGAGGCTTTGAGCAACCTGGTCTAGTGGAAGGTGTCCCTGCTGCTGGCAGGGGGGTTGGGACTGGATGAGCTTTGAAGGTCCCTTCCAACCCAAATCATTCCATGATTCTATTCTATGATGAAGACTCAGGGCAGGCTGCCTGCTGGATTAACTGATGGCAGCTCTTGACCAAAAAGCACATTTCTCTCAGGCTACTGAGCAGAAACGCTTAATCCCACCTTTAACTTTGGGCACAGAAGAAGATCAACCATCGTCAGAGCGCGTTGGGCTACAACAGCTTCTAAAGCCACGAGCTTTGTGTTCAGTCCCCAGATCTGTTCATCTGCTCAGCACAGGGGGAAAACTGACCTTTCAGATTCAGCCTCATGCGATGGCATCGCCGAGCAGCTCAGCATCTGCCCTGGGAAAACTCCCTGGAAGCTCCAAGACCTAAACCAGCCCGGGCTGTCCCTTGCTGAGCGTGACAGCAGCTGGAGCGGGGACACTGAGATGGGGAGAGGGGCCGGTGTCCCGT